GAGGGGAACTTACCCAGGAAGGCTGCCCAATGTATTGGCTGTCTCTCCTTCTTGTCACATGTGCTCAGATTGGCCCCTCTGTTTAAGAGCAAGTTTACCATCTAGCAAGAAGATAGACACAGAGAATTTTTTTGTAAAAATCAAATACTATACCAAAATAAAAATACAAGGCAACTGATATGGTGCTTCCTGCCACCTCCCCCTGTGGATGCAACAATTTATATATGTTAACGCTGGACCTGTGCTTTACAAGAATACTGAGGAACAAAAGAGAAATGGAGCAAAGAGATCTGGATTTGGGTAATCTGAAAATCCATTCTTATTACATAACAAAAACTTGTCTTTGCCTGCAAATCAGATTTTACCTATTTATGTATTAAAGCTTGCTATGGAAGACAAAATAGCCTATGGCTGCTGGAATATGTTAACCATATGTAACCATATTAATTAATGAATCATGCACCAGTATGCTACTGTGGAGTCCTTGGTGCTCTCCGAGCTTGGTTGTTTGCTTGCAGATATTTCATTTTCCAACTAATTTCATCATTAGTGAGAGTGAGTGAGGGGTTTGCTCCCTATTTATATGCAGTAGCTTGCCCTGCCAGTGTTGGTGGGGGTGTGGTTTTCTCCTTGGTAGTTCCTTGACTAGGGTATTGTTTTCTGCTTGTCTGTTGCTAATCCCTGCTTATCTGGGTGTTGGTTGGTTGGAATGGATGTGTTCTGGTCTTTTTGTTTCCTTCTTAGCTTTTTTATTGTCTCTTTTGAATGGTATGTAAATGTGGTTTATCTCTATGTGTCTATTGATGGTTGAACATGCAGTACGTTCATCTGTACGTCTGTACATCTATTGATAGCTGAACAAGAAGTATGTTACTTCTGATCAGTTGGAGTACATGAGATTTCTCAAAGTAGGGCAGAAAAATAAAAAGCCTTGCCCAGGAAGCATTCTGCTTCTGGAGCACATGGAAAAGTACCAAAATGAAGAATCTGAAAAGACCCCACAAAACATGGTTCCCAAAACAAGTTGGACTGCTCCAAATGGCTTTGCCTTAACCATAGTAATTGGAGATTCTATCATGTGAGTTTGTGTGTAACTATTTGTTTATTTGGCTAACGTGCTGCTTAATTTCTGAAGAGTCTGAGTGGCTATTATAAGTGAAAATAGTCTTTACAACAAAACAAATTTCCATTATTGCTCTATTACAGCTCATCACTGCATAATGGAGAAATAATGCATAAACATCTTTGGGAGGAAAAGCATGTCCCTTACCTCAATGTGCCCACTGTGTACAGCATGGTGCAGTGCCGTGCGGCCAGTGCGGTCTGCCACGTTAACATTACTAAGCAGCGGGATGATGGCCTCAGCACACTTGGTAGCTCTGTTGGCAGCAGCAACATGCAATGGTGTTTGCCAATACTTGTCACGAGCGTTGATGTCTGCCGAGTGCTTTAGGAGGAGGTTAAGTGCCTTCTGCCAGGGAAAGAACAGAAGACAGCTTTTAAGCCTGGGTGAATAGGACAAAGTACTACTACACAAGAAATAAGTACTAACAAGTGAAGAGATAATACTATGTTATGAACAGAAGCAGTTTAACGTAAAGAAAGTCTGCAAAACCTGAGAGAATAGGAAACACGAGAGGAGATAAGATGCTACAGTTTATATCTAACAATTCTGAGAAAGGACAGTGAGCAACCATGTAGGGTAATAGTCTTAAAATGGAGTTTCAATTATATTAGGAGTACCTCTCCCTAAATTCTCAGATATCCTGAAGTTTGGGCATGTTCACAAAGAATAATTGGTGTTGCAATCCCATATTTGGTGGCCACTTGATTGAGAAAAATTGGTCTAAAGGGGAAGTTATTGGCACAGTTAAACCCCAATTAATAAATTCCTCAGATTAAGGTACAAACAGCTAGGTTCATACTAAATTAGTTAAATCTTGTTGGCTTCTATTTTATTTATTTATTCATTCATCACATTTATATAGCCGCCCATCTCACAAACGTGACTCTGGGCAGAGTACAATAAAAATAGACCATAAAAGAAACAAACATTAAAAATTATTCCATAGTAAAAAAACATTAATATTATTTTAAAAGACTAAGAGAGCATCATCAATGTGTAAGAAACAAGGTAGCCATCTCACCCGTTCTCCATTTCTCTGAGATTCCCAAGCTTGCTGACACAGCCATGTTTTGAGGGAGTTCCAGAAGGTTGGCAGAGATGGGGCCAATCTCACCTTAGGGGGAATGATGTTCCACAGGGGGGGTGCCATAGCAGAAAAGGCTATCTCTGGGATCCCGCCAGATGTAACTCCTTAATAGATGGGATCCGCAACATACCCCTTCTGCGGGACTTGATGGGACGGGCAGACGTAATCGGTTCCTCAAATACCACAGGTCCGTACCATGGAGGGCTTTAAAGGTCAAAACCAGCACCTTGAACTGGACCTGGAAGCAAATTGGCAACCAATGCAGCTCGTGGAGCAGAGGTGTAATGTGTGCCGTTCTAGGGGCACACATAAATGCCTGGGTTGCCAGCTGAAGCTTCCAAATGCTCTTCAAGGGTAGCCCCATGTAGAGCACATTGCAACAGTCTACCTGGTTGGTGACCAGGGCATGAGTGACTGGCACACAACGCTTGAGCAGGAGTTGCGAGTCCAGGAAACCCCCACACACAAATTGCGCACTAGGTCTATTTGGGGCAGCATGACCCCATCCAGTACTAAAGATGGCAAAGTCCCAAAACTGGAAGGCCCCAAACCCAAAGTCATTCAGTCTTGCCAAGGTTCAGTCAAAACCTGTTGTTTCCTGTCCAGGGCCCCCCAACTCCCAAGCACTGGGATAGGACTTCAAAAGCATCACTAATTCTCCATGGGCAGAGACTTATAATTAGGTATCATCAGCATACTGATGATACCTCACTGCATGGTAACAGATGATCTCACCCAGTGGCTTCATGTAGATGTTAAACAGAAGCAGAAAGAGCACCAAACCCTGCAGCACCCCATATAGTAGGGGCCGAGAGCGGGATCGCTCACCCCCCAATCAACACTGACTGGTATTGACCCCAGAGAAAGAAGCACAAACAGTACAGTACAGTGCCACCCACCCAATCCCCAGTCGATCCGGAAGGATACTATGGTTGATGGTATCGAAGGCCACTGAGAAGTCAAGTAGAGCATGGACAGATACACAACTCTCATCCCACTCTTGCCAGAGATCATCTACAAACTCACTGTCTACTCACTGTCACTCATGCCCTCGTGACCTCCTGTTTGGACTACTGCAATGCACTCTACATGGGGCTGCCCTTGAAGAGTATTTGGAAGCTTCAGCTGGTACAGAATGCAGCTGCCCGGGTTGCAAATAGTGTCAGCTACTCGGCACATGTAACACCACTGCTTCAAGAGCTGCACTGGTTGCCAGTGTGTTTCCAGGTGCAATTCAAGGTGCTGGTTGTCACCATTAAAGCCCTTCATGGTTTGGGACCAGGTTACCTTAGGGACCACCTTTTCCCAGTTGTTTCTACCCATCCAATCTGGTCCAGCAGGTTGGACATGCTCTGGGTCCCATCAGCCAAGGAATGATAGGGACCAGGAGACGTGCCTTTTCTGCTGTGGCGCCTGCCCTCTGGAACATCCTCCCTCCTGAGATTAGGATGGCCTTGACCCTTTTGGCTTTCTGGAAGGCCTGGAAGACCTGGCTTTATGCCCGGGCCTGGAGGCCCGAGCATGCAAAGGGCCCCGTTTCATGGTTGTGCTGATACCAACAGCTTTTTAAGATCTCTTGGCTGCATTTATATTTATATTTAATTTTTTGTACTGCTTTAAATGTTGATTATTTTTATTGTTGTTAGCCGCTCAGAGTCACTGGTCTGAGATGGGCGGCTATATAAATTGAATAAATAAATAAATAAAAAACATGATCAATGCTGTGTCCGTCCTATACTTAGGCCTGAATCCTGACTGAAAGGGGTCCAGATAATCTGCTTCATCCAGGGTCCTCTGTTGCTGCTGCGCAATCGCCTTCTCAACCACCTTCCCCAAGAAGGGGAGGTTAGATTCAGTTATGGTTTCTTGAGGATGGGTGAACCAGTGCCTCCTCAAGAGGCAGAGGAACAAACCTCTCACTCAAGGAAGAATTAACCACGCTAGAACCCACCCACAATATACCACTCTGGGCAGCTTTAGTTAGCAAACAGGGGCATGGAACTGAAGAACAGCTGGCTGAGTTCACAGTCATAAGGATCCTGTCCACTTCCTCAGGCCCAACAGGTTCAAACCATTCCCAGATAACAGGGCAAGACTCCACTCCAGGCATCTCCTCTGGACCTGCAACAAGGACCACGTCCAACTGAGAATGAATTTGAGCGACTTTGGCAGATGCTCAGCAAATTTTTCTGCATGGCCTTGTAGGGGGATCTCCAAATCCCCTCTACCCAAGAGGATGCATGTCATCCAAAACAAGGCTGCCAGACACCTATTCCATGGACGCAATAAGGGTGGAGAAGTATTGTCACTTCTCTGGCCTTACTGCCACAAGGTAGGCCTTTGCTTTTTTGTTTTTGGACTGTTTTTTATTATGATTTATAAGTTTTAGGGTATTTGAAAGATATGGTTTTTAACCAGAGTGTTGTTAATATTCAAAGGAAGCTGATTTAGGCTTTTTTAAAATTTTAACTGCATAACCCACATAGAGTTCTGTGATTGGGCAGTATATAAATTGATGCAATAAATAAGTAATCTTCTTTTATATTTTATATATTGGTTATGCAGACTCAAGGCTTCTCCAGTAAACAAACAGGTTTTGGAACTAGCCACTACAAGGCAATCATCGTTAGACTCCTGCTTCACTCCTATGTCCCATGGGAAAATGTATGGTGGGCTACGAAGGAAGAAATGGCCAATTGAACATGGCTCCATTCTTTGTGGAGCCAACACCCACAGCAATTAGAGGAGCTGGCCTTGGTCCAGCTCTTCAGAATCATCTCCTGATAAAGGAGATTGACAGGATCACCCACAGGTACTCCTTACAGAGATTCCCTGTTAAGAGATTGCAATATAGCAATCTCTAGCGGGTGGAGTGCTCTGGGAGTCGAGGGAAAAACACTGAGTCCAAGCCATGGTGCGGAGCCTTCAAAAGGACACTAGATTTGCTTTACTTCCTCCTTTAACTAACATCATAAACTGCCTATGTGTGATTTATTTGGCAATTAAAATACTCCTGAAAGATAGTTGCTGTACACCGGGAGTATTTCCTACTATCCTGGGAGAAAGAAGACCAAAGTAAGTTTAAAGATCAAAAAGAAATATTTTAACATTTGGAAACAGCGAAAGGGAATTAAGAATGTTGACTGGGGACAGCTAAGAGGCTAAATGGATTTGAAACAGCTTTCTGAAGGATTGTTTTAAATGTTTA